AATATTAAATCCAATTCAATAAAGCTCAGAGTCTTTTTTAGAAGGACATAATTTAGTCTTGACCACAAACAGAGATCGAAAACAGTACTTTCCAGTCCAGGACTGCCCCCTCCTCATAGCTGGGAACCCAACTGCCTGTGAATAACTCTCAGCAGCTCCAATACCACCCACATGCCATGAAGCCAAGCCAACTGGCCCAGTGATGGGCTTGGACAGGCTCAGGTCCGGGTTTCTAGGAGATGGATTAATGGAGAAGAAACACTTTGCTTAGAACCATCTCAGTCTCTAGGAAACAATTTTCAGGCAGCTCTACAGGCTGGAGTCCAGTGGGAGAGGTGGAGGCTGGCAATAGTCAGTTGCTAAGGCATAATCCAATTAAAAGGGGTCACCCGATGGGTGGAGGACTATTAAAACAGCAGATGTTTTCTTCCCTGGCATGTCAAGAGCAACATTCTAGAAAATCACTAGGAAAGCTCTTCATATTCTTTCATAGGCTGACATCATTCTCATCATCATCATGCCATATTACATTAGTAGAAAATAATACATTTTGGAAGGTGCTTTCATATACACTACCTCATCTGAGCCTCAAAACAATCCTAGAAGCAGGCAAAGCAGGGTTTATTATCCCCATTTTTCAGGTAAGGAAACTGATAAGAGGTGAAGTGACTTACCCATGGTCTTGCAACTATTAACAATGGGTAACCCATTTTTCCTCCCTGTCTCAAGACCCAGCACACTGCTCTGCAAAGAGGGGGCACTTAATGTTTGTTGAAGAAAGGGAGTGAGGGAGGGAAGGAAATGAAGAGGACTGGAAGGGAGGAGAGGAAAGGAGAGAAGAGGAGAGGAGAGAAAGGATAGGTAAACATTATCCAAAACGGCTGCTTCTTATCTACTTCTCATCTGCTTCTCCATCACAGGTCAGGCCCTTACCACATTTTGCTTGAACTACGGGACAACTTTCTAATTAGAATCCCTGCCTTAGTTCTCTCATCTCCAATACAGCCTCCTAACAGCTGTCAAAGTGATACTGTTTAATGGCAGGTCTGATCATATTACTTTCTGGCTTACTAAACTCCAATGGCTCCATATTACTTCTAGGTTAAAAGTCTCGAGATAGACACACACATATATACATACACACACTATGTGTATGTTTTCACACATATAGGACATACAAAAGTGAAAAATGTGTGTATATCTACACACACACAATAGCAAACAAACATATGTATGTGTATGTAAATATGCATAGTGTCTCCCTCTGTTGATTGTAAGCTTCTTGAGGGAAGGAAGGGACTATTTCATTTTTGTACTCCCAGCAATCATCATGGCAGTGCTTACTGGTACACAGCCACAATAAGCACTTAATAATTGCTTGCTGCTTTATATCATCATCAAATTACATTAGACCAGCATGGAACATTCTGGTTATGATTATGGTTTCACATTCATTAGCTCATCTGATCTACATAAGAACCCTGAGAGTTCATTGGGGCAGGGATTATTATGCCTCAGTTTGTTCACATGAAAAATGGGATTAACATCCCACTCAAATGAACACATTCAAGTTAACACTATTCAAATTACCCATTTCCTAGGGCCATTGTAAAGAAAATGCTTTGAGGGGCAGCTAGGTGGGGCAGTGGATAGAGCAGCAGCCCTGAAGGCAGGAGGACCTGAGTTCAAATGTGGCCTCAGACACTTAATAGCTGTGTGACCCTGGGCAAGTAACTTAACCCCAATTCCTAACAAAAACAACAACAACAACAAAAAGGAAAGTGCGCTTTGTTAACGTTACTTGAAATTTAGAGCTCTTCACAACCTGGCCCCCTCTCCTACCTTTCAAGTCTTCTTATATAGTCTTCCTTCCTTCCACCTATTGTGTGACCTAGTCAGAATGACCCATATTCCTTCTGTATAATACTTAGTCTCTGTGCCAGTGCAGTGGCTGTTCCCCAGGCTTAGAATGATCTCCTTACTCAACCGTACCATTGAGAAACCCTGGCTTCCTTCGACACTCAGGTCAAACATCACCTTCTGAAGTGAGGCCTCTCCCAGTAACCCTGGCTGCTAGAATCTTCCCTTCTAATGCTACCTTTGATCTACTCTGTTATGTATTATACGTGGAGTAGTAGTAGTAATAGTAACAAGCAATAACAAGCAATTATATAGTACTTTAAGGTTTACAAAGAGCTTTACAAATATGACCTCATTTTCTCCTTAAATAATTTACACGTCATCTTCTCCCCTTTTAAAATGTGTACTCCTCCTAAAAATAAACAAATAAATAAAATAAAACATGTACTCCTCATGCAAGGATCGAAGACGACTCCAAAAGACTGCTGATGGAAAATGCTATCCACGTCCAGAGAAAGAACTTTGGAGTCTGAAGGCAGATGGAAACATACTATTTGCTTTCTCTTTTTTCATTGTTTTGTTTTGTTTCTTCTTTCTCATGGTTCCTCCCACTGGTTCTAATTCTTTACATCGTGACTAATGTGAAAATATGTTTAATAGGAATGTATATATCTAGAGCCTATATCAGATTGCATGTTGTCTTGAGAGGGGGAGAAAACTCAAAACTCAAAATCTTATGGAAGTGAATATTGAAAACTAAAAATAAATAAATTAATTTATTTTTAAAAAAAGTATATACCTTTAGGATTTCTGCTTTGCCTTGTATCCTCAGCACTCAGCACAGTGCCTGGTATATAATAAACACTTAATAAATGTTTGTTTATTGGCTCATTGATTGATCAACCTTAAAGTATTATAGAAAAAACAGCTGTTATTATGATTAAAGAAATGTGGCCCCTTGTTTTTAAGTACGTGAAAATATTGTACTCATAAAGTACTACTTATGTGGCAGCTGCTATTTTTCAGCTGAGAAAACTGAGTCACAGAGAGGGGGCATGACACAGGCTGTATACACACGAGGTGGAGGTTGGGCTCAAACTTAGGTTTGCCCACTCACTGCCCAACCCGCCACGGTGGAGAAGGCAGTGGGGAAAAAAGCGCTAGGAAATGAGTCCAAAAGAGCAGAGAGAAACAACCGCTCATCTCTTGTCAGAGAGGGAATTAACTTCAGATGCAGAAAGAGACAGACCCTGCAGCCACAGAATGAAGGCCTTATTCAGGGGGATTTTTTTTTCTTTCAATTGAGAATAGTGGGATAGATTAATTTTTTTTATTTGTTTTCTGTTTTGCTTTGTTTTTTTTAGTGAGGCAATTGGGGTTAAGTGACTTGCCCAAGGTCACACAGCTAGTACGTGTCAAGTGTTTGGTCTGAGGCCGGATTCGAACTCAGGTCCTCCTGACGTCAGGGCCGGTGCTCTATCCACTGTGCCACCTAGTTGCCCCAGATTAATTTTTTTTAAAGGAAAAGAAAAAGATATTTATGTTAAGACAACCCACATTTATTTCTATATAATGTACACCATGGTGAATGGGGTTGCTCTGAAGTATAACTGAGGCACTGAACCACAGCCAAAGAAAATGAAAATACACTGCATCATCTTGCTACTAAGGAAAACAAACAAACAAACAAAACAGATTTCAATGCACTGCCTTGATTGGATAGGACTACTATTGATTTTACTGTTTTTGGTATGGATAGAGAGTATTTATTGGAAAAAAAATGTGTAAAGTGCACAGGATTTAAAGAGGACACCATTTATATTTTTTAATTAATGTAATGCTAAGACACATATGCTGTGGAATGAAATTTAATATTTTTTTTTTAAAGAAAGGGCACTAGATTTGGAGACAGAGGATCAGGGTTTAAGCCTCTCGCTGCTCCTTACAATCTATGATTCTCTGGGCTTCCATTTCCTAGTGTGTGGAATGAAGGAATTGGAACAGATGTTCTCTACCATTCCATCTATCTTCAGACCCTAAGGCCTCTCACAAGGGACAGAGTTTTAAACACTGCTGCTCTGTTATCTGATATAACTCAACAAGTCAAGGACCTGTGATTTCGGCATGGAAACTCCCTCCTTCCCTAACTTGAGATAATCATCTGTTTATAATTTAGAGTTTCAGAAATTTGCCTGAAGACCCATGTGACTTGTCCATGGTCCAACTGGCAGGGCTGGAGGTAGGATTTGATGCTAAGTCCCCCTCACTCCAGGCCCAGCTCTCTAGTTGCTAAACCACCCTGACGCTCATTATCTGAGAGACAGATAACCATCCCCAGTGTTTAGCACAGTGCCTGGTGAAATGCTGTTGTTTAACAACAGGTCTGACTATGTCACTCTCTTACTCAATAATGCCAGTTTGTTTCCCTGCACTTAGCAAAGTGCCTGGTAAATACTTGCAGACTGACTGAAAAAGATGTGGGGGTCTTAGTGGACTGTAAGCTCGCCAAGAGCCAACAATGTGAAATGAAAGCCAGAAAGGACCTTAGGCTACATTAAGAGAGGTGTAGCTTCCAGCAGTGAGGAAGTGAATCCTGCCGTGCTCAGCCCTGGTCAGATGCCTTTAAGAGCACTGTGTTCAATTCTGGAAGCCAGTTTAAGAAGGATCCTGATGAGCTGGAGAGTGTTAAGAAGAGGACAATCGAGATGAGGAATTTCAAGTTCAGGCCATAAGAGAAACAGTCAAAAGAAGGGGACATGTCTAAGTGGAGAGGAGAAGATTTAAAGGGCTAGCACCCAGAAGATTGTATTTGTCCTGCTTGGCTCTAGCCTGGAGAAATAGGTGGAAATAGAAATGAGGCAAATTTGGGTTTGATGTCAGGAAGAACATCCTAATGATTAGAGATATTCAAAAGTAAGATGGGCTGCTTTGGGAGTCAGTGGGTCCTACCTCCATGGAGAACTTCGAGTAGAGCCTGGATGACCATTGGTTGGGCATGCTACGGTGGTAGCACTGTCCTTCAGGTCTGAGCCATTAGGTGGCCTCTGAGGTAGGATCCAACTTGACATAGCTGGAAGGCTGCCATGTCAGACACTAAAAATAAACAACAGACAGGTACCAGGCGGAAGAAACACACTTACCTGTTGGAAAAAGGGATGTGTGATGGGGTGCAGTAGCTGTACTGGTCCATAACATGAGTGAAGATTTCCTGACTTTCAGCCAAAGATGGAGACCCTCGCCATACAAACTGGAGCTCCTGCAACACAGAATGAGACCATCGGTTAAGAAGAGACCAGAAGCCTGGTAAGATTTTGCAGTCAGTCCCCACGCTCCCGTGTCTTTGTGGGAAGAGCACCATAGACAGACTATGGGGCAAGGCAGGGGAGGAAGGGATCGAGGGCCAAATCCAGAAGCACTTTGGAGTTTCCAGTCTTAAGGAAGAATCCAGAAAGTAGAAGATCTATGCAGAGCATCAGTTTTCTACCAAGCACAAAGTGTTATATGAAGATGAGGTGACAGTGGAGAGAATGCACTTTTGAAAAAGCTGGCATTTTCTATAGGCTTTAAGGTATACCAAGTGCTATACATACACAGAATAAGCCCATGAGATAGGCAATACTATTCCCATTTTGTAGATTAAGGAAATGAAGTGATTGCCCAAAGCCAAACATTGCCAATGATTCCTAGAGAAGCACCTGGATCTATCCTTGGTCACTGACTGCAAGATCCCAGGGGAGAATGAGCACCTCTGTCCTAATGGCGCTGTGGCACTACCCACATTGTCTGATGTGGGTCTTCATAATAAAGATTGTGACAAGAATGCCACCAGGGCTCTACCACAAATGGGTCTGGTACTCTTCAAATAATAGACACAAACAGACACAAGACACAAAACTCATTGTCAGCCTGAGCTCTGCCACCTAATTCCACGTCATACAAAAAAATCTGTTTTTCCAAGATGCATAACCACCAATACTCACAATAATGATGATACTAGTTGACATTTCTATAGTCTTTCAAGGTGACAAAATGGTAGATATATGTATATATTAAGTTTCACAATACTATGGAGTAGCTAGTATAGGCATTATCATACCCATTTTACAGATGAGTAAATGGAGACTCAGAGGTAAAGGGACCTGTCAATGGTCACATTATTCATTCAATAAACACTTATTAAGTGCCTAGTATGTGCCTGGTATTGTGTTAAGTACTGGGGATACAAAAAGAGGCAAAAGATAGCCCCCTGCCCTCAAGCACTTTACAATCTAATTATAACTCATATTTATATAGTGTTTTATGGTTTACAATCAATCAATCATCAAGCATTTGTAAGTATCTACCATATGCCAGGCACCGTTCTAAGTGATGAGGAGACAAAGATAAAAATGAAATATTCCCTGCCCTCAAGAAGCTTATACTCTATTCTTTATAGTCTTAAGTATACAAAATAAAAATAAGGTAATTTTGGTGGGGAAGGCACTAGGGGATAGGAGCACAAGGAAAGGCCTCAAGTAGGAGTCACTTGGATGAACTTTGAAAGAAACCAAGAGGGCAGCTGGGTGGCGTAGTGGATAGAGCACCAGCCCTGGAGTCAGGAGGACCTGAATTCAAATCTGGCCTCAGACATTTACCAGCTATGTGACCCTGGGCAAGTCACTTAACCCAAAATGCCTAAAAAAGAAAGAAAGAAAGAAAGAAACCAGGGATTATAAAAGGTGAGATGAGACATGATGGGACAAGCAATGCAAAAGCTCAGGGATGGGACAGGAAGTATGGTGTGCAAGGAAAACTAAGAAGGCCAATTCGGATGAACCACAGAATGCATGAATGTGTAATAATGTACAAGAATGAATAATAAGCTTGGAAACTGAAGATGGAGCCAGGTTGGGAAGGGTCTGGAATGCTAAATAGAGTTTGTACTTGACCACAGGGGTAATGGATAACTGTTGCCGATAGCATCATCCCCATTTCACAGGGATACAGTGACTTGCCCAGGGTTACACAGCAGCTTCATGGGGGGATACAGGACTCGATCTTCACTCCTACAACACCATGTCCAGGGCTCTTTCCACCAGATTTCGGTTCCCTAGGTTTATATTTCAGGAATACCAGGTAAGACAGAAGAGGCAGAATGAACATTTCAACCCTGTGATGTTACCTTGGCTTTCTGCATGTCCTCTTTTAGGTCATAGTCGATCCGGGAAATGAGATGGGCATTGAAGCCGGCCAGAGCGAACAAAGTTGGTGTGGCAGCAGATGCTCCAAAGGGATCGATGTGCCAGGAAAACTGAGGTCTTATCCCAAAAGTTTCATATAAAAACCCATGTCCTTCTGCAAAGGCAAGGCAGAGTTTAAAACATAAGCATGCTGGTCTACTTTATTCCAACTGCTCAACGTGAGAGGTTGGCCGAGAGAAGCAGGTCAGATATGGACTCTGGTTACCTCTATCAGCTAGCCACACATCCAAGTAGAGAAAGCAGAGAGATCGACACAAACAATTAATGAGGGCTTATCATACACAAAGCAGCTACAGTACTAAGCCTTGGGGACACTAAGAAAAAAGCAAAAGTCACTACCTCCAAGGAGATTGCCTTCTGCTTCCAAGTTTGAACAGGGATGGCTGAAACAGTTTTCCTTGATTATTTCTGAGTAATTTACTAAAACAATCAGCAACCTAGTGGTTTAAAACAAAAGTGGGATCTTCAGATTTTTAACCCAAAATCCCACCAGCTCAAAGATTTGGATGAAAGCACAGAGGGCATTCTCATAATATTTTCAGATGAAAGGTTGCTGGGTAAGAGAGTTAACATATTAGATGAAAGAATCACAACCTGAAATAAAGAACCACTTCCACTTAACGAAGCTGAAAGATCAGCAGAATGTAATTAAATGGCACTTAATAAGGATTTGCACTTAGCTTCAGAAAACATCAGAATCCCACCAATTCTTCAATGCCTACCTCAGACCCCCTTCTATCAAGCCTTCCTTAGCACCCCTCCTTCCTATATCTCATGGAGAAAAGCTCTCTCTCCTCTGAGCTCCTAAAAGCCCCATCTTCACTGTGCATTTTGTGGGAGACAGAGAGCGGTCCTCAGAGCCAGGAAGACCTGGATTGGATTCAGTTCTGCCTCCAATACATTTGCTGTGTGAGCCTGGGAAAGATAACCTTTCAGTCCAAGGCTTTAAGTTTCAGAGAAAGTGCTAACCTTCATGTATAGAAGAAGTTTCTCACCAGAAGCACCCCATGCCAAGAAATCCCCCATACTTTCCCTTTCCCTATCCCTATCCTTTCAACACACAACACTGAGAACACCTTCCTTACAGGTATTAGTCTACAATGCTTTCCTTTCTCACTAGACTACAGGGTTTCTGAGGGCATGGAATGGACCAGGTTTTATAATATTCCCTGAATCTCAGATGGGAATATAAACCTAGGGAACTGAGAGCTGGTGGAAAGAGCCCTGGACTTGGTGCTGTAGGAATGAAGATCAAGTCCTGGAATCCCCCCATGAAGCTGCTGTGTGACCCTGGAATGGACTTCAGAGGGCATGCTGCCCAATCCACAGCTGGAAGAATTCTCTCTCAAACCTGACAAGTCAACCAGCCTTCTTTTGGAGACCCAGCTCCATTTGTCTTTAATTGCCCTGCCCATAGAAGATATATTCAGTAATTATTTGTTATATAAATGAATAATTATTTAAAAGATTTAGCAAGGATGGTTTCATTTTTGTCTTTGTACTCCCAGCTTCTCGCCCAATGGCCCCCACATAGTAGACATTTAGTAAATGTTTGCTGAGTGATGGATAGATTCAGATAGAAGCTGGCAGCCTTCGTCTCTCACAATTCTCTCCCCATCATCTAAGCTCCCATTAAGGTTGTTTTGCATGTATTTTGTGCAAGAAGCTGGGGTTAGGTCCCTCAATGAAACTTTCCCAGAGAGAGAAGGATGACAGTGAACTTTCAGGAAAAAACATTCCCCCCCACCCACAACCTTCTGCCTGGCCTTTAAAGACCAGTGAGAAATTCATGCTGAATGATTTAACATCCATGGGGAGACATACTTCAGCACTTCATGGCTCTGTGATTTGAGGAGCATGGGAAGTCTTCCTCCAACTACATACATCACAACCTCTTCATGTCTTAGAAAAGGGTTTCCTGAATGGCTATGGCCAAAAAAAGCCACCCCCTAGTAATTGAAGCATGGATGACAAGCCTCTCTCGATTTAGCTAGGATGTTTCTGGAACAACAGCCACATTTGGACACTAGGCAGGCCCATACTTTGACACTTTTACAGTCTGGCAGCACCTGCCACAGCCTGTCTACTGCTGGGGTAATCTTGAAGAACTCAGAGTCGCCTGGACTCTTCTCTTTCTATACTAGGAGTTTTTAACAGGGAGTCTAAAAGCTTGGTTTTTAAAATATTCTGATAACTGTATTTCAATATATTCGTTTCCTTTGTAATTCTGTGATTTTTATTTTATGCATTTAAAAACATTATTCTGAGAAAAGGAGTTCACTGGCGTCACCAGACTGCCCAAGGAATCCGTAACACAAAATATGTCACGAATGCCTACACTAAAGTATGGTGGAAAATCACTAAACTGGAAATCGTGAGACCCAGGTTCTAGTCTTGGCTTTGTTACTAATTAATTGGATGACTTTGGGCAAGTTACTACCTCTCTGCAGGACTCAATTTACTCATTAATAAAATGGGGGCTAGATGACTTTCAGACCCTTGCCAAGTCTTGTTTCAATGACTCTAACACTATGCTAATGAGATAATAACTCCAGTATTTTGGGATATAATAAATTGCACCTATTAACCCTGGCTTTCAGGTTAAGTGGTGCTGAATTGTTAGCTGAAATGAGGGACTCTTGAGGTTACCAAAAGTCCCCAGATTCAATTAGGCACCATACCAACTGAAGCACTGAAGGCTGAAATCCATAATGATCAAAGTTACCCTACATTTTCTAGGAAATAATATTCATTGAGAGGAAATGATGGCCTGAAGCACAAAGTTAGCCAACATTCTGCCTCTGGAAGTGCCCTGCATGGAAACGGGAGCACCATGACACCATATGTTACCAGACGGAAGAAAGACAACTAACTGGATGCACAAGGGGCTCATCTTAAACTTGGATTCACTGATGAAGAATGTGGAATTAGAGGATTCCTATGGTTCCCTCCAGTTTTGAGAGTTCTCATTTTAACCAGGCATGGGGGCATACAGCTGTCATCTCCACTGCTGGGAAGGCTGAGGATGGTGGCTAAAGTCAGTCAGGCATTTGCACTTAGGCAAGCATTAATATGGCAAGACCACACTGCTTAAAGAGGGGTAAGCCGACTCAGGTCAATAAAATTCCAGCCCTGATGGAAAAAAAAAAGTATCTATGCTCTCTTCCACCACCACCACCACCACCACCACCACCACCACCACCACCACCACC